ATAACGAAGAAAGAAACCACAAGGAAAAAGCGGAAATCCCTTAAACAATTGGTGGTTGGTCAAAATTATGGGCTGAGTCCCCGAAAAAGCGGAAGCAGACAACAAGGTTGGGGGTCCAGGTAGGTTTGTACCGACTTATAAGTCACCTGTTCAGTGGGGTTAACCTTGTCATGTATTTCTACTGGATCCCTGGCAAGTCACTACAGTGGGTAACCAACAATTTGTCTCCGGGTGAAAAAGAAAGTGGTTTCCTTGGTTACCTACTACCTACTGTACAGGCAACTGGATCCCAGATAAAAGACAACAAGGGAAAACGCCCACGACGCACACCCAAAAGAAGACAAACAGAGTATGTCAAATTAAGCCCACAGGGTCTGTTGGTGCCCCACATTTCCGGCTCAACTACAGGACAAAGGAGGCAGAAAAGGGATTCTGCCCCCCCCCCCCCCAGAAAGGAACATCACTTGTGGCATCGCAACCCCCCCCGAAACGCGCTGGAAAATGAGCCGAGGTTGCAAAAAGGGGGCCTCAAGGGAAGCACCTACATCCACGTGCAACCTTTCGGAACAGCTGACAGATTTGAGGACTCCGTGACGAATTCGCTTGAACCGGTAAATATGAGGTACCAACCGACCCTCTGGGCTTCATTTGACCAACATGTATCCTTACGATCCTGAAAAGCGGGCCAATGGTTGACCCTGGATAAACCCTGGGGCCCTCCAAAAGTGAGTCAGGTCAAAAGCACACCACAGGTCCAAGGAGACGCGGGGTTGTCATGATTTCCCTTGGTGGGTTTGAACATACTCGTTCTTTCCTTTAAGTTCTTTTCAGTGGGCGATGTTTAAAGTCTGGAAAGCGGGGTGATGTCCACAAGTGGTGCTTCTTCAAAAATCCGTGTTGGATCATCAACCGAATCAAAATGAGTGGTGATTTTTCCAACAAAAACGTTTTGGACCTAAAATGACAGTCCATCAGCTAGAACCATCACAAACATTGGACCCGCTTTTTGTTTTTTTGTTTTAATGGTCCAAAATACTTCCAGCCATTGTAACACTACAGTCCAACTTCCAACCATTTCCCCAGCATTGTTTGGTGGTTTTCTAGAAAGAATGATCCCTGAAAAGAATGGACATGGAAGCTACCCCTACCAAAAACTGCAGGAACATGAGTGGTGTGTTTTCCCGGAGAAAAAAAAACAAAAACAAAAAAAGGTTTTGGATCATGAGCTGCGGCAAAACGAGTGGCGCGTTTTTTCCAAAAAAAAATCCGCTTTGGACCCGCGAAGAAATTTCATCCCAAGCGAAGGGCGTCGAGGCCACCAGCTGCCTGAGCTCCTCCGCCGACAGCTTCGGGCTGACCCTGGTGGGGCCCCAGACCACCACGCCTGCGGCGAGCACGGCACGGCGAGCACGGCACGGCGAGCACGGCACGGCGTAAGGCGCGGCGAGCACGGAGGCGAGGCCAACGTCGGGGAGTTCTCTTGAAGCTGGTGCTCAAAAAATGCGAATTGGAACCGCAAATTACTCTAAACAAAAGTTGGAGCTTCCTTTCAGCGGTTCAATTGGCTGCGGGTCAAACAAATGTACCAAAATCGCAGCTTGGCAGATGGAACCAGACACTAAAACCTGTGTTACCCCAGTTGTGAAATTTTGAGCCACGCCCAATTTTCCAAGGGCCAACTTACATACGTGAAATGGGCATCCCCCCCCAACAAAAACAGTAGCGGCTATTCCTGGGTGATACAGGGCACATACCCCAGAAAAAGCATCCCCCCATAAGGCCTATAGGTGTGGTATGCCCATTTATGGCATGTAAGTTTGCCCTTGGCAAAATATGTCATGTTCCATGTAAATACATACGTATAACTAAATAGAGAAAATGAGAGCGAGAGAGTGAGAGAGCGAGAGAGCGAGAGAGCGAGAGAGCGAGAGAGTGAGACAGAGGGGGAGAGAGATAGACAGAGAGGAGAGAGATATGCGCTGCCCCCCCCTTCCCCGGATGGACCTGCGTTTGGGTCAGTTTCACAGCAAACACGTCCCGTCTGTATGCATGTGTATGTGTACAAAGGGATCCGGATGCATTATACACCTGAACATTGCAACTTGTAAATGGTGGTTCCAACCTTTATTTTGCTGGAAAAAGCAACATGTTTCAAATGGTGGCAAAATGTATCTTCTAAGGAGCCCTGTTTCATTTTGACCCATACTTGGTTGACGTTGAAAGTGTTAGCAGTTAAGTGGGGATTTCCCACTAAACCACAATAAGCAAAATGCATCTTCTAAGGAGCCCTGATATTCTTGCTTTGCAAACTGAGCCACGAGAGCCCAGGATGAATTGGCCACAAATCCCAAGCAGAATCAGAGAAAAACCCGGCGCAAAAGCAACGAACGGCGACTGATTTGGACTGGGTGGTTGCGTTGCTTTTTTGAGCTTAGCGTGTTTACCAAGGCGAAAAGAGTACAAAAAGGAAAACTGGCAAAAGACAAGAGCCAACCAAAAGAAACCCTTCACCAACCAAGAAGGAAAAATGGGAAGCCCGTTGTGCCTGAGAGGTTGGTGCCGGTCACGGCGATGTCGTGCATCGCTTCCTTTTGCACGGACGGAGGGAGGCTCAGGGCATCAAGCGATCTGCGGCTGACAAAGCGCGCAGATGCCGCTTGCGGAAGATGGCGGGTGCTTGAGCCTGAGCAACAAACACATGGCGGAGTTGACCACTGCAGCCAAATATTGTCGTCCAAACCCCAAAAACTTCTTGACAAAGGCAAGGGAAGCTCTTCTACGAAACCAGTCCGGGTCTGCCCAAGCCTGCAACGTGCTGGAGGCAAATACTTATGCTCAAGCCCGGGACCCCTTTTGGGGTGGAACGCACAAGAAAGCCCAGCCATTGTCAAGGCAAGTTACCAACTACCTGCTTTCCTCTACAACTCTTGGTATGGGCTTGCAAAAAAACAGCTGTTTTTGTAGCCCCGCAGTAAGCATGAACAGACAAAACAAAACAAAAAATACCCAAAACAACACAAACAGACTTGCCAAGAACAGTAAAGCTTCTATTTGCAACTTGCTACAGCTCTAATGTCACAGAATTGATCCCTTGTGTTTAAGTTTCTGCGCTCAGCACGTCTTGTTTTTGCTGACTGGCATGCAAGAGTAAATAAGGAGAATTTGGTATGTTCTCAGTCGGGAAGGGAATCACCCCAGCCCGTGCGGTTTCTCAACGGTTCTTGCCAACTCCCCTTCAAGCCTTCCCTGAGCACGTGAGCGTGATTCTTCGAGAATTCCTTTTTTGGGTTTGTTTTCGTGTTTTGAGGGGCACCACCATTGTGGGGCTCAGTTGCCACCATGAAAACCAGGATTCTCTTTCACCATTTACCTAAGCATTGTCAAATCTGAATTGGATCCCCTTGGCCACTATTTCAATGTCAAACCACCATCAAAACCCTGGTTGGATGATTCTAACCACCATTCACCCAAGGATTGTCGCCAACACTTTTGAAACTTGGTTGCTGTTGACCCGCCTGCAAAAAGCTTTGACTTTTTAGGGGGTTCGCGGAAAACACCTTTATTCAACCAAAAAGTTAAAGTCTAAAGATCCAACCCAATAGCAGTCAACAGTTGAACCCGAAAATCCACCATGTCGGGTGCGTCTGAGTCGAAGCTCCGGGCTACCGCACCCTCCAGCGCCTGAGAGGCCAAATCGCTCGCTTGGGAGGCACTCGAAAGGAGGCCGTGGAGTCTTATGGGCGGCTTTGCACGGGCATTTCGGCGGTTTTTTTCTTAGTTTTTATTGTTTCCCCGTTTTCCGTTGGTATTTTGGAAGAACCCGGTTTCCAGGGCAAATACCCGTGGTCTTTTGTGAAGGGTTGACTATGGCTCACTTCGACTCCAAAGTTGTGTTGGGCCCTGGTTCGTATTCGCCCTGACGAAAAGGGATCGGTGTTGACCCTGGAAAAACGGGGGTGCCAAACATACGCTGAAAAAAGTTGGCATTTGGAGTAGGGGCGTTCCAAGAAAAGTGCCATCTTGTTTAGTAAATGGCTGACATGATACTCAGAAACTCATGATTATGGGTATGTGATGTTTTTTTTGAGGGCACCATTGTTGGGGGGTGGCTTAAAGGCAAATTAGCAGCAGTTGCTCAAAATCGTTTGTTCTGAAAGGGGGTCCCCTAGTTTGACACACACACACATGCACACACCCTTCTGTTGTTGGCCTGTAGCCTCTTGTGGAAATTGTCCAAACCTGGACTTTTCGGTCAGGTTCCATGGTAGTTGGTGGGAGGGTACCAACTCTTAAGTGGTATCCTCCCTCCCACGTGTTCATGGCACATAGGGTCAATTGAAGAGGAAAGTCATCTTCCAGCTAGCCTCTCACATGTTTTTTTGTGTTGTTGTTTCTTCTTTTTTTTTGAATATATACATCTATATATATATAATGTTTGTGGGAAGAAGGCTTCCCCTTTGGCAACCCCATCTTTAAAAAAAAATAAAAATGCAAGGCCGGGTCCCTGCTGACGCCCCACTCTGGGGCTGAAAGTATCGCAACCCGCAGACCCTTCAGAGGATCCCTTGCAAAGGAATAACAACCCTCCCGTAAATGGTGTCTCTTTGTGGGGGGAAGGGAACACTGTAGTGGTTCCCAGGCTATTTGTGCCCCTCAAGCCAAGCTGGAAGAGAGTATGAGAAACAGCTCATACAGCTGAAAGGAGTCCCCAAAGCCCCAAAGGTGCTTAAGCAGGGCTCCCGTCCTTTCCCGGCATATCACGAAAACCAAACCACAACTATCCGAACAGGGCGGATGCTCATATGAGAGTTGAAAATATGTCTTTCATTTCAAGACAATCAGCACTCTCCAATTCTTCCTTCAAAAAAAGAACTTTGGAGAGAGGAGGGGAAAAAAAAAAAAAAAAAAACTCGCCCCGGCTTCCTCGTCTTCCGGCCACCTTCCGCCCCCCACGTCCCCCCCGTCCCCGTCCCCCGTCCCCCACCGCTTCCCTTCCGCGCCCCACGTCCCCCGCCTGGCCGAGGGTGGGCCGGCCGCGGCAGACCAGCGCCAGCTGCTCCAAGAGCGCCTTGGCCTCCGAGACCTCCGCGTAGAGCGCCAGGTAGATGGCCTCGAGTCGCGAGGGACATGTCGTTGGTCGGGAGAAAGACGATGCAAATCCGCGGAATTCGTACGACATGCGTTCGCACCACCAGAGGCCGTTGAGATTCATCTGGTTGGTCCAATTTCCCCCCCCCCCCCGCCCCAAAACTGGGAGCTTCTTTGGCCTGGGGAGGGGGGGGGTAGCGCGTGGAGGCCATGTCAAGGAGCAAACCGCATCCTTTCTGGGATCCATTCTTTTCCGCCCATGTTTCGAACCCCATTCTTTTTTTGGGGGGGCTGGGCTTTACCTTCTCCAAACAGGGCCGCTTCTTGAGCCGCAGAGGGGGCGGTAGCTTTCAGCGCGCAGTTGTTCAGTGACCCCGGAAAAAAGAGAACCCTTTTTGGGGACGACCATTTCTAGTGTGGCAGCCACCCAAAAAGAGGGCAAAAGGGTGCCAGTGAACACGGAGTCCCCCTCCTCCTGCTGGGAGTAGAGGAAGCTGAAGGTTTGAGCCGCGAAGAGGGAGAAGACCAAGCCTGCGAGAGAGCTATGGATACCTCTCGAAGTCCCCATTGGTTGCACATTTCAGGGGTCACCGGATTTCCCCCAAAGTTGAACCATTTACTGGTGGGCCCCACTTTTGAAGGTCCATTGAAAAGGAACCCGAGGAACCCTGTGGTTGTTTGGGGTTGGATGGTTGGTTGCCCCAAACGAAAAGCATCGCTGGTTGATGCCTAGAAGCGCCCTTGCGGGTGATGTTGGTTGCCGGTGGCTTTTGTAGTCCAGCCAACAATGGGGTTCCCCAAAAACAATGACTCACGCAGGATGGCACACGGCAGCTCATCCACCGGGTTTCCCTTCCGGCAATTTGCCCGTTTCCCAAGGAACCTACGGCTCACTTCCTGAGCCGGGAAACAAAAGAAACACTGTTGAATTTTCACTAGGTCCTCCAGTAGAGAGGTTAGAATAAGGGTACCCTTTTTTCGGTAGTCTATTTTAGCAGGGGAACCCTCCCCCAAACGGGCAAAAGGGCACTACTGGGGGACCTAGATCACTAAAAATGGTCCTCCCCCAAAAGTTCACGTCCAGAAGCTCAGGGAGTCAGACGACCCAGCGCCCCTCTTTGAAAACAAAACCGGCGCCGAAAAAAAGCGCCGGTGAGGGAAGCCCACCTCCTGATCGTCCAAACAAGGCCGCCGACGGCAAAGTTCCGAAACGAAGCTTGCACATAGCTGGCCTTTTGGGTAAAAATAATTGGCTGGATGAAACAAACCCTAAAAAAACAGCGGAACCCATCTACTTTTCAAGCAAGCCCAGCAAAAGGACACCTATGCTCGCCCATTATGGAGGGCCCAGCTCAGCTTGTTTTTGGAAACATGGAGTCACGCGACCCGGACATCGATCCACTAGATCAAATCGATGGCCTACGCCGGTGAAGCAGTTCTGCAGCCACTGCGCGTTGTTGTCCTGCGACATCAGGCCAGTTTTCTGGCATCCAGTAGTGGATTTAAGTGTTTGTTTGGTTTTATCGAGGTGTTTCACACTCTTCAAAAAAAATGTGTGTTTCATGAAAGAATCCATACAATCACAAACAAGCGCACGCTCAGGGTGACCTATTCTGTTTAGTCTTGGGCGAATTAACATCCCGCCCAGCCCTAACGTGGGTCAGGCATCCCCCTTTGGTCTACCTATGGCCGAGCATTCCTGGAACCTCCGGGAGAGGGGTGGGTTTTCATTTGGTCCCAAGTCCATTTGCAGAAACGCAATTCGACAAATCAAGAACGCCTAAACATGTGTTTTGTCTGATAATAATAATAGTTTAATAATAGTTTAATAATAGTTAAGAATAAGAATAATAGCTTAATAAAAATAAACAGGGAAAACAACCTATCGCCAGGTCGAAGTCGCACGTGAGCAAGGGAGAACTGTTGGGGAACCTTTTTACCCAAAAGGTCGTGGCTGACATTGGGTAGTCCAAAATCCATGATATGGCTATGAATTTTAAGGAGGAACTCCCGGAAAGTGGTTGGTGGACATGAATCCCCACCTAAATGATGTCCACCAAGGTCCCCTAAATTAAATTTCATACTCATATTGGGCACTTTTCTATGGTGCCCCCTCTCCTCAAGAGTATAAACCACCAATCTTGTCAGTGACTCATAATGCAAAGGAGTTTGATTGCCAATCCCCCCCTGCCACAAACCAATTCCAGGGCAGGTAGGCAGCTGGCTGTAGGATGACATTGCCACTGGACGGGGGGCACGTTCCACCCACAGCTTGGGGTGTCCTTTTGGGGAAAATAGATGGCAGTAGATGACGAATTCCGTAGGTCCGCCAGGGCCCGTTATTATGCCCACAGGTGGTTTGGTCATGGCTGGGTTCGAAGCCCATCCATCTTGTTTTGTTCATATCACCTGGGTGCTGCGATCGCCTTTTTCCCCGGCTGTGCTTAGAGTGAAGCGTACGGAACAAGGACACTTGTTGGCTCATTGCAAAAGGAATCAACAAATACGGCATGTAGACCCCACCGAACAAAACAAACACGACCAAGAATGTCCGACCCCCCAAATAGCAAGGGTTCTTGGGTGCTAGAGAAGATGATGCAAGATGACACAACATGAGATTAGCCCAGCCTGACCCACCCCCCCAAAAAAATAAGCCCAGGTGATATCCCCACCGGCATGCGGTGCTCTTTTTAGTGCTCGCACCACCCCGCAGCCCTCGCATAACCTTGTGGAACCCTCGAGGAACCCTGGTGGAACCCTGGTGGAACCCTGGTGGAACCCTGGTGGAACCCTGGTGGAACCCTGGTGGAACCCTGGTGGAATCCTCGTGGAACCTTACGTCAGGGCCACCCCGGACCACCCTGGAGCCTATCTGGGCTGAGACCCCCAAGCTTTCAGCTGTCGGGGAAAAATATTCTGATCCAAATGGAAGTGGCCGGATTGGTCGTCGTTGAAGTGGAAGCTAAAAGAAGGGTTGTTTAAGCAATCGGATCTGAAATCATAACAGTTACATGGGAACTCCGAACGCTCAACGGCAGGTATGGGTTGAACAATCACACCTAAGTGATCTGGCTACTATTTGCCGGGACCCTTTGGTGGACATACAGAAAGAGAGAGCACATTTGCGCCACGCGCCGAGCAGCCCATGGAAGCGGCGACCGCGCCACTAGATCATGGAAGCCATTTTCGCGCTTCATTGTTTGCGGCGCACGAGCTTTTTCATTCGTGTTCTAGCTAGCGTAGCTACCTTAGAAAGGGTTCAACTTAGTTGTTTGCGGCGCTTGCTGCGCGCCCATTTTCTGGTCTTTCAAGAAAACGGTCGGCCTGCACGAAAGTCTTGATTGCTGACACTCACGCACAACAACCGTTTCTACACGCCAAACAGCGCAGCACCAAGTCTGGCCAAGACCAAAAGGGTTCGTGCTTTGAAAAGCAAAATCAGTTAAAACCCAGCAATGCTCCGAAAAATGGCAACGGATTACTTTTGGATTCCCCTTGCGAATCAAAAATGGGTGCGAAATCCATTTTGAGAAACTCCAATGTGGGTAACCGCAAAGAACCCGCTGTTCCCGGCTTGGTGAGCTCGATCTTTCCCTTCAAAATGAATGCGGCCAAACAACCCCAAACCGAGTTGCGGGTCTACAAGCCGTGCCCCCAATCACAAGAAGGATTCTCTCATATTTGTTTTTGGGGTGTTTTAAGGGAGACCGATCGGAGATCACCCATTTTGAGAGTTGAAGATGGAAGTGTGCAGGGCTCCTTTCAAGTGTCATCAGGTGCGTAGTCGCTTGCTTAAATGTGCTAAACGCTCCTGCTGTTCTTGCACCTGGCTGCTGTCTCCACCGAGTTCTGGCTCAGCCCAAGACACAACAGCTCCAGACTCAAGAATGGCAGAGAAAGCACCAATAGTTGCTTGGATGTGCTGGACTTTCCTCAGCTGCTCTTGCACCTGGCTGCTGTCTCCGCCGTGTTCTGCGTGACCCCAGGTCACAACACCAGATTCAAGAATGGCAGCAAAAGCACCCCGACGAGTTGCTTGGATTTGCTGGACGTTGCTCAGCTGCTCTTGCACGTGGCTGCTGTCTCCGCCACATTTTGTATTACCCCAGGTCACAACAGCCCCAGATTCGAGAATGGCAGCAAAAGCACCCATAGTTGCTTGGATATGCTGAACGTTCCTCAGCAGCTCTTGCACCTGGCTGCTGTCCCCGCCATAGTCTGGATCACCCCAGGTCACAACAGCCCCAGATTCAAGAATGGCAGCAAACGCGCCCTCGCGGGTTGCTTGGATGTGCCGGACGTTCCTCAGCTGCTCTTGCACCTGGCTGCTGTCTCCACCAAAGGCTGGATGTCCCCAGGTCACCACAGCCCCAGATTCAAGAATGGCAGCAAAAGCACCGATAGTTGCTTGGATGTGTTTGACGTTCCTCAGCTGCTCTTGCACCTGGCTGCTGTCTCCGCCGTGTTCTGCGTGACCCCAGGTCACAACAGCCCCAGATTCAAGAATGGCAGCAAAAGCATGGGCAGTTGCTTGGATACTCTGGACGTTTCTTTGCTGCTCTTGCACCTGGCTGCTGTCTCCGCCGTGTTCTGCGTGACCCCAGGTCACAACAGCCCCAGATTCAAGAATGGCAGCAAAAGCATGGGCAGTTGCTTGGATACTCTGGACGTTCCTTAGCCTGGCTGCTGTCCCCGCCATAGCCTGGATCACCCCAGGTCACAACAGCACCAGATTCAAGAATGGCAGCAAACGCGCCCTCGCGGGTTGCTTGGATGTGCCGGACGTTCCTCAGCTGCTCTTGCACCTGGCTGCTGTCTCCACCAAAGGCTGGATTACCCCAGGTCACAACAGCCCCAGACTCAAGAATGGCAGCAAAAGCACCCCGACGAGTTGCTTGGATTTGCTGGACGTTGCTCAGCTGCTCTTGCACGTGGCTGCTGTCTCCACCCCATCCTGGATCACCCCAGGCCACAACAGCCCCAGATTCAAGAATGGCAGCAAAAGCACCATTGCCAGTTGCTTGGATGTGCTGGACGTTCCTCAGCTGCTCTTGCACTTGGCCGCTATCTCCGCCAAAGCGTCGATCCCCCCCAGGTCAAAAGCTCGCTCCCGTGAGCATGAAAAGCAAAGGCTACATCAGTGGCAGCCAGCTTGCCAAGCTGCGCAACCGCAGCCACCACGTCCCCATCTCGCAACCCGGCCTCACTCACCGTGGCGGTAAAATCAAGCTGCTGGCCTTTCGCGGCGAGAGTCAAGCGGCGCTGGAAATGCTGCTGCGCTGCAGCCTTCAGCTCGCTGACTGGCGTTGCTGGTGAGACTTGTACGGAGCACCCATCTCCATTGGGCAAGCATACATCCACCTTCATGGCGCAAGAAGGTATCTCTGGTGAATTCAGGTACACCATGTGCGTTCGGGATTGAAATCCTTGAAGCTGGACAAAACATTTAGAATTGGGGCTGGCAAGAAACTCTTGCAGAACACAACGGGCAAACGCAACCTTTAACGATTGCTTAAGACAAATAAATGACGTCACGCCAATCCATAGCAAAGACACCAATCTGATTTCCACCCCTCGCAACAATGTAACACGTGTCAACTGCATGCAAACATATCTGATGCTCCAAATTAACAGATAGTGAACAAGTCAATCTGATCCACGTTAGCCAAACCAACGCTCACAAGTCAAGTTGACGCGGTCTACGCGCCAAGCTAACTCTTCTTACCAGCCAATCTAAAACAAACAAGCCAATCTTGTTCTCCAGAAGTCTATTTTATTGCTATTCATCCCATTACCCAAGTTGACGCGGTCCTCCAGCCACTTTTAGGAATTCTTGACACAACCAAGCCTGCTTTCATTTGTGGGAAAGGGGCTTTTTGAAGATCTCTTTCAAGAGTTGCAATTTAGTTCCTGCAAACTCCAATGAACCTACCGCTTTTGGAGCCTGTGCGTTCCACTCTGATCTATGGCCTCAAAAAGGAGAATCTGTTGGTGCTTCACTCAGCAAAAGACACACACACACACAGCCAGGACGAGCTCTTCCAGCAAGCTGTTCTTGTCGGTTTCGCCTTTTCCTTTTTTTGATAGGATTTTCAAAGGCGTTGTGGAACCTTCGCGGCTTGTGGCAACAACTAGAACCTGATATGGCGTGAAGAAACGTGTTTGAATCCAAAGCTGAGGGTGACTAATTTTGGTCTGTGCCAAAACGGCAGTTTTGGAACCAAAGGTTTGGTTTTCACCTTGACCCAGCTGACCAAAAAGTTCCAGGGAAAACCAAAAGGAAGCCAGAAACAAAAGCTTGGTGATCAATGGAAACAAAAACACAAGCACAATCACAAACAACGAGCATTTGCCTTGAGGTTTCATTTGGTTAGTGTCAAAGGGGATTTACTTTTCAACGACAACATTTATGGCCCGATTTATTTGGGAAGCAAAGACACAGGCGCTTCCCTCAAAGCCGCCCCGGACCATCCCACACCCCTCGCAGAACCTTGTGGAACCATGAACCCCGGACCACCCCGCAGCGCTAGAACTCTGGTGGAACCCTCATGGAACCTTATGGAATGCTGGTGGAACCCTGGTGGAACCACCCCACAGCCCTCGCAGAGCCTGGTGGAACCCTGGTAAAACCCTGGTGGAACTTTCGTGGAACCTTACCTCAAACCACCCCGCAGCCCTCGCAGAACCTTGTGGAACCATGAACCCCGGACCACCCCGCAGCCCTTGCAAAACCTTGTGGAACCCTAGCTGCTAGGACCCTCATGGAACCTTACCTTACCCCGATTTTGCAGAAGCTGGTGGAAATTTGGTGGAATCCCACAGCCCTCGCTGGAACCCTGGAACCTGGTATAACCCTCGTGGAACCTTACCTCAAACCACCCCGGACCGCCGCAGCCCTCGCAGAACCTGGTGGAACCCTGCTAGGACCCCTCATGGAACCTTACTTGCAGATCGGACCACCCCGATTTTGCAGAAGCTGCTGGGAATCTGGTGGAAAGCTGGTGGAACCCTGAAAGAACCCTCGTGGAACCCTGGTGGAACCTTCCTCAAACCACCCCGGACCACCCCACAGCCCTCGCAGAGCCTGGTGGAACCCTGGTGGAACCCTGGTGGAACCCTGGTGGAACCCTCGTGGAACCTTACCAAACCACCCCGGACCACCCCGCAGCCCTCGCAGAACCTGGTGGAACCCTGGTGGAACCTGGTGGAACCCCTCGTGGAACCTTACCTCAGGGCCGCCCCGGACCACCCCGGAGCCTATCTGGGCTGAGACCCCAAAGCTTTCAGCTGTTGGGGAAAAAAACACAAAAAACAGTCTGCTCATTTGTGGGGCGCATGTCAGCGGCCAACGGCATGCACCTTGTTTGAGATGGACACAACATCACCCTGGGCATGCTCATTTTCCAAGGTTCTCAAAATATGACTTGTTTAATCGCTTTTACAATGTACGGTATACTTGTTTTATCATGTATTTTTTGAATAAAAAGACATCGGTAAAATAGTGGTCCCCTTTTGGGGTGGTTTTTGAAGAGACCACAGGAAGGACCACCAACCTGGAGGCGTCCCTTGATTTTGAGCAAGGCCCCTCTAGAGTCCCCCCCTTATTTGGACCCACGCCCTATGGCTGCATCTCAAAATGGGTGAACCCCCAAAGCCAGCCAAAAAAAAGTATCCCAAAAAAAAACCGAGCCACCACCACATGTCACAAAAAGCAAAAAAACACGGACGAGCCACACCCATGCGCCACCCATCGGCCCCGTCGGTGCTGTCCTCCCGGATGGCTTGCAGAGCCGGAGCCGACACGTTGTTCTGGCCAAGGGGAGCCACGACAAGGCGCCCGGCGCCTTTTTCACGTCTCCAAATGGGGCGTGGGTCAAAATGAAACCAACACAAAACCGCAGGTCTTAGTAAAAGGGTTTCCACTGACCAGGGATCCATTTTGGGGTTACCCTATTTTTGACCCACAGCCAATAAGGCGCACGTCCGGGTGTCCTTTAAACCAATCCCAACAAGAGTATAAGGGCATACCTAAGATGGGGCATACCTAAAGTGTATAAGGGCAGGTCTCCAATTAAGGGCATACCTAAAATGGGTGGTGCCCTTTTGGTTTCCTTTAAACCAATCCCAACAAGAGTACCCCAAATGAACACACGCCCCGTCTCTGAAAACACTGTGTCTCTTCTTTTCGTGCTTCTCTTCTTTTTCTTCTTCCTATCTTGTTTTTTTGTGCTTTTTTGTTGGCGGGGGGGGTGGTGCTGCCCTGCCCTGTGACAGGGACCTGACAAAAAGTGTTCCGCCATTGGCTTTGGGGCTGTACCCCCTTTAAGAAAAGCCCAAACAACCTGAAGGCAAACGGCACGGAAGCGCCCCGCATCACCCGTCTCCAAATTGGAAGCACCAGATTCTTGCAAGAGAACCCCCTGGGTCCTCCAGTTTTGGAGGGTACCCGATTCTTTTTTCTGTAGTCCATGTTAGTAGGGGGAACCCTCCCTCCAAAAAAGGTCAAAGGGGCACTGGGGTGACCTAGCCCCTTGAAAGCCCCAAGCCCACCTCCAAACCAGCCACCCCGTTTCTCAGGGAATCCCAGCCCGCCCCCACAACTTTGGGTTTCGGAAGGAAAGACCTTCGGTTGCAAGGCACGCTTCTCGTCTCGAACAAATCATGTGACATTGCGCCGTCTACGAAAAGCACGTGATTTGAATGCAGGACGAACCTATATTCGGATCAACGATTTATATTTGATTGCTTTATGATCCTTGCAAATTATATAGCCTAAATCGCTTCATGATTCGCGCACATGGGTGCGTCTTAAAATCAGCCCCCACACATAGGTGTCCTTTGGGTAACATAGATGGCACTGGCAAATGAAGAACGAACCTGCAACCAGTGGAACCCATCTACTTTCAATCGCACTGACCGAACCAAAACGACGAAAAACCTGCTGCCTTCCAGTTAGGGTTTCCTTCAAACGACCAACAAAGGGCCGGTATGGGCCTGAATCGCCTGAATGTTGCTTGCATCCCCCCCTGAAAAGTGAGCAGGTCCAAAAAAAAGGGAGCAGGTCCAAACAAAAGACGGCTGAAAAACCGCTAAGCGCATGTATCAACAACAGCGAACAAATCCCAGAAGTGAGCTTCCCTCAGTGAAATATCGGGACAAGTATTGAAATATTGGGCAACTCTCGAAAAAACGAAGGGGATGCTGGGGTCAGGGGGAGGTTGGCTTGGAAATGTTTCGGCCACCCCGGGAGCCGAAAAAAGAAGGTCCCAAATCGAACTGAGCGACACCGAGAGCTGACGGTCCGACCAAAACGAAAAAGCGGAAGGAGACAACAAGGCAGAACAAAGCGGTGCATGGGGGGTTCAGGTAGGAAGGAGAAACTATACTTACCCCTTAAAAATCCAAGCCCTGGGGAAGTTAATCTTTTACAGACATATAGCCCATGTTACCCAAAAAATTGAGAAAAGTTGTGTTTTTAAGAGGTAAGTTTATAGGGAAGCCATGCCCCACCCGCGCCGCCCGCCGCGCTCAGCGCCGCGCCGCTTCGCCCCACTCCGCCGAGGGACACCCGGGCGCCTCCAGCAGGAGGGTCAGCGGCACGAAGAGCAGCGCGGCCAGGGCCCCCACCGCCGCGCACTTCACCAGCCGAGTCGTTTGGCCCTCCTCCAAGGGATTTTCTCTCGTTTTGGTTTGGTTTGAGGGGTCGACACCTTATATGACCCTCCGGTCGAATGTTGTTTTGTTCCTTGGGAATCTGCTGTTAAAGGGAAAGGGGATTCAAACAACCCAGTTTTTGAGGCAACACTCCTTATAGGACCCTCCTGTCGGAGGTTGTTTTGTTTGGTTTGGTAGGGTTTGAGGGGTCATAGAACGCTACTCTTGAGGGCAAAATGGGGGGGTCCTTGATATCTCCTCCTGCGATGTTCTTGTTGGTCTCACCAATGGACCAAAAACTTCTTTGGATTCTTCTGTTACAGAGAAAGGTGATTCAAACAACCCAGTTTTTGAGGCACCACCTTATTGACTCTGCTGGCGGATGCTGTGTTGTTCGGTTTGGTGTGGAAGGAGGGTCATGTAAGGTTACTCTTGAGGGCAAAAAGGGGCTGTGTGCTTGCTTGACAAAAAACATATGCATATATATATATATAATTATATATATATATGTATATATAATCCCGGTCCTGGAACATATTTTTCTCCTGTCCACTGACATGGAGCCTGTTGGAGGGATCACGTAAGACTATGTTTCTTTAAGATGAACCCGCTGATGGGCTAAAGAGAAGGGTGTGAATTCTCTTTTCTTGGGGTACAGTGCCCAGGTGTTCCCAACGGGACGAAACCCCAGACCAACCTGTCAAAGTGGGGGTTGCAAACATGAATTTCCACTCCGCGAAAGGCTGTTTTCTCCTATGTGTCCAAACAACACGTTGAGGTGTCCGCAAGAAAGATGGGTCCAAGCTGGAGGTCGTAACAAGCAATGCCTCCGTGTTGCGAGTTCCCTCTGTTGGGGGAGACCTTTGGACGCAAAGGTGAGGGTTGCGATGGGACACAAGAACCAACCATGGGGAAAACCAATGTTCAAGAGAGTTCTTGAGGAAGGAGAGGTTTCAAGGCCCTCGCAACAAGAAGAACTCTGAAGACACCCAAAAGTTGTGTTTTGATCATGGCACATACGGGCCACACGGGTGTACGCCAAAAATGGGGGCCTGGACCCCTCATAATGGCGACTTTCCTTTTAGCGTCCCTGTCAAACTGCCACAAAAGGTACAGTACCCTGAAAAAATCACCTGGATCGCCAGTTGCTGCTTTTCCCAGCACCTGTCGCTGTTTCTAGGACAGTTTGTCTCTCGAAAAAAGAAATCCCGCGCATCTTGGCGATCCAGGCATCTACATGGCGGGTCAAAATCCCGTACCAACCCCCCCCCCCCCAATTCCCTACTAAAATAGGTTCTAAAATGGGTGGCGAATTCACCTAGCCCAAAATGGGATCCAAAACGGTTTTGACAACCACAGCCACATCTGCGTGTTGACCCACATGCCAGATGCGCCGCGTCCCTGCGCCCCCATCCGTCCTTGCCGGACCGCGGCTGCAAAGATGGCCAGTCCTGGAGGGTTCAGCCCGGAGAATAGACAGGGTATCGCTTGCATGCCAAAGGGAAACCCATCCGAGAACAAAAACATAAGGAAAAATAAGAGAAACCCCGTTCCAAAGAAAAAATGGTAATTCGTGTGCTTGGCGCGGGTGAAAGGAAGACCATTCCAAAGACAAGGAAGAAGGCTGCAACTGAGCAACTGGACATCATGTACATGACTTTTGCTACAATCAGCAGGTTTGAGAGGCGCCCAATTCCAAGACAAGATCATGGCCAGCGCAAAGGCAACCAACCGCATGCTGAATCGATCAAGGCCGCCTGCGCATTTACCAGCATCCAGGGGCTACTAGCCCGTGTATGTGCCCACTAAACCACCAGAAAAAATGGTTTGTCGTCTTTGTTCTCTTGGTACCCCTTGTCAGCTTGGTTGAAAAAAACCTCAAGGAAAACCTCCGGAGACCTACGCCTGTGACCACGGAGCATTTCGGTGTTCCCTTTGGTTTTCCCTGAGATCCACCCCGTTGTTCGAGGCTTGAATTTGCCAACTTTCAAGTCGTGACGGACAACATGGCCGCTAATGAACATGGGTGTGTCTTTTTGTTTGGAGGCTACCATTTTCTGGTTGGCTTGAAAGTGAAACAAAACAAACAACACACAGTTGGATGGGCACCATTTTCTGGTTGGCTTGAAAGGAAAACCAGTTTTGGGGTCCAAATCCTATTCTAAGACACAGCTTCCCTTTAGAGGGGGCCGGGGTCTGCTTTCAAAACACAATGCAAGCTCTTGGCTGCCCGTTTGAACACAAAAGCCAATCCCTGGACAACCGGCAATCGAAACTCTACCCAAAAGAATATGGTAAAAGACTAAAAGGCCGGATAGCATCCATTTGGGTAGGATTTAGGTACATCAGAATTCGGTGGGGGGAATTACCCGGCAACCACCAACCACCTATGCTTTGTGGCAAGAGGACTATCCCTTACTCTTCATCACAGGTTTTGATTGCGGCTGGGATTTCCCTCCCGGCCTCATCCCAGCGCTGACGCTCAGCTTCGTCCACATCTGTGCGGGTTGATTTTGATCGGGGGGCGTCGCTTTCAGGGGGAACCCGGGCCACTTTTATCAGCCTCCCTCTAAATTGGTGGCTTGGATAGAAGGTGGTCTCCCATCTAGCTTCTACAAGAGCCAGTGGTTCAAATATCCAAACCACCAAGGGATACCTAGTTTTCAGGAAGGCACCCCCCAAGACACAAATTCCACTTCAGACCATCCCCCAGATTTGAGGGACTCCCACAAGGGGGTTGACTTTGACATTTGTGAAGTAATGGGGGGGCAGTTTCAGGGAAGTAAAAAAGCATGGAATCACCTGACCCCGCACTAGAATGTTCCTCTATATAAAAATCTAGAGAAATTATGGTGAGCTTGCCTCGGGATAGCTCAGAGCAGGACGCTATCAAGGAAAACTAATGAATACTCTGCTGCCGTACTTGTTCTTGCCATGCGCCTGTCACACAAAAAAGCATTGTTGTGTTGCGTGCCTTTTTCAACTAAATGTCGAAAACGGGTCAAAACCCCGCAATCTCGGTGAACATCCCAATCCAACCACTAAAATAGGTTCTAACATGGGGTGGCGAGTTCACCTAGCCCAAAATGGGATCCGAAACGGTTTTGACCCACGGCCACATAGTAAAAACCGGCCATGGAGCGGCGATGCAGTTCTTCCCAGGGCAGCCGAGGAGAAAAAACCGCCAGCCCAGCCCACGGAGAATTTACCCAGACGTTGAGAAAAAAAACTCGTGAAACAACCTCCTCATGGGTCTACTTTTGAGGTTCCCTCTTGTGGTATCCCCTTTGTCTTCCCATTTTAAACCCACAAACCGAGGTTCCCTGCTGGGAAAACGAAAAAAACGCCTCCCTTTCGGTGTCTGACAACTGGCGAAACCGAAACCGCGACACCGCGACACCGGCCTGGAAGCTTCGCAGGCTCCGGGGCGGAAGGCACCTCTCACCATCACAGCCACAGCCACAGCCACAGCTCTTTTATATGGGGTCAACGCTAGCAACTGGGATTCCGCCATGGCGCTGGGGTTGGGGGAAAGGCGGGGCCCCCTTCCGGAAAACCGGAAGGCCGCGGTGCTTGAAAACGATGGCATGGATGGTATTTTAGCAGCCAAGTGGGGATTTCCCACTAAACCACAATAAGCAGAAGTGTAAAATGTTTCCCAACAACAACCAAGGTTCGGGGAAGGCCCTTTTTCCAGGAAAATGTCCTCCGAAAGCCCCGAAAAGAAGGCCGGCGGTTGCAGGATTCATGGAACAGGAATCAACACCTCGACGAGTTACCTGGGTGTTCCACCCATGTCAGGCTGCAACCGTCTGCCTGGGGTCTGCCGAAAGGGCCCCGTACCAGGGGAAGAAGAAGAAAAAACGAGTTCCCGGATGTTGGTTGAACACTCGAGTATACAAGTTCATTTTTTTGGGGGGGCCCTGTGTCTGGCACCCAGGCCAAAGATTCTGGGGAGGTCCCCAAGCAAAAGGTTTTGAGACACGCTGATTCAGGAGCAGCAGCCACAAAGCCGAGACTGACCGCTGTTCGGGGCCGGTACAGAAGAAGGCTTTTCTTGCGAATCAGTGGACTGAACTCCGAAAGGACAACGGTCCGAAAACGAAAACGGGCGACCCCAAATCAGGGACTCTCTCCTTACCTTACCCACAAGGGACAAGGAGAAGATGCGACCGTTGTTTCGGGAACATGTGTGTGTGTGTGCGCGGGTGCCCTGGTTGTGTGGGACATCGTGAGTCACCTGGTTGTGTGGGACATCAGTCCTCCAATGTCAACGGAGAGACTTTGACTGAACCTCCCATGCACCTTGGTCAAAACATGGCAGAACACCGTCACGGTTTTTTGTTGCTTCAATATTCACAATGGTTGCAACAAAATCCAAAAGAGATGGATGATCACAAGCATGCCATGCAGCCCAATTCAAGGAGCTCAAAAACGGGACTTTCCCCAAAGGCTTATGCCCATCTAGGAGAGTCTGCAGTAGTTGTGTTTTTTCCTGAGTGTTTTTTTTCAGGGTGAGCTCTCTCTGTTTCTTAAACCACCCTCGTGAAAAGCGCCGATCCCTTTTCGGCCAAAATGCTGGCCGAAGCGTTGCAGAAGACTCCAACAAGGAACGTTTAGATTTGGCTGTGGCTCAAAAAAATGTGCCCAAAATGGCACCTTGGTGCACGGAAACAAAGACCAAAACTTGCGTAACCCCAGCTGTTTAATTCTGAGCCACGCCCACCACCTAAGAGACCCTGGAATGATCATTCCCCTCAAAATACCAGAAAATCATGGTTTCCCATGGTGTCAAAGTGGTGCGAACGGATTCAGCCGGAGCCACTTCCAGGAAGGGGCCTACCCTTCGATTTGGCGAGCGCCTCCGCCCGTGGCTTCTTCCCTACAAGAAGCGCAACGGGTCCGTGAGTTGGAAGGCAACTCTCCGCACAGAAACATATTCTCAAGAGGCGCCGCCCCCCCCCCAAAAAAAAAAGAAAGAAAGCATATGCCAGCCTTTCAAAAACAAAAACAACAATGACCCTTCGCCTGCCTTTGAGGGGACCAGCCAAAGCAAAAGTTGTTGGCCAAGAAAACGCGTCCGCCGTCCATGTCCCATCGACTCCCGCCTGCGCCACACGCCGATGCGTCTCGGCCCGCAGGCCTGCGGCGGCTCGTCTTTGTTTAGGATTTGGACGCCCAAGAACTGGCTCTTCGTCTTCCTTTGGGATTCCCTTTAAACTTTAAAGCCAACGAAAAAGGGCGGCCTCAAAAAAGTTCGACCCGCCCGGCCTTTCTGAAGCTCAGGAAGTCAACAAACCACCCAAATACCTACCTTTCGAAGATGTTCCACCCCTTTACACCAATTGCCATCCCTTTCCTTCAAGGCATTCTTGGAAGACTGCATCCGTCAACGCGGAAGCCGGGAGCCGGGATTTCCCACGGCTTGGGGGAACGGGATCGGAAATGCGCGTGGCCATGGCAGATCTTAAGACCTCACTTCCCTTCGCGGCCGCGGGAGACTCCGCGACTCTGGGGGGGGTTGCCTGAAGTTCGAAAACCCCCCCCCGGAATCGTTGGCTCGGCCTCAGACCGCTCCCCAGACCAGGGCGTTCCAAAAAAAAGGCCCACCAAAAGAAGACGCCAAAAGCATCAGGATTTAGGGACCCGTTGAGGGGGAGCATCAGGTCTTAGGGACCCTCTATTGAAAGAGGGGGGCTTAGGGAATTGGAAGATGCTCAAGGGCTTAGCTTTCGCAAAGAACCAAAAGGGATCCTTACATTATACACCTGAAAATTGCCTTGTAAATGGTGGCTTCCCTTTATTTTGGTGGAAAAAGCAACGTGTTTCAATTGGGCAAAATGGAGATCTTTTAAGGAGCCCTGTTGGTCCAAGTATCTTCCAATCAACAGGCCCAGGTACCTGGACGAGGATTCTGACACCTGGGGCGCCGCTGTTAACGATGCGTCCAGTCTCGACAGACTCCCAGACCATCTAGTGGGAACCCCGGATTGATAAACCCCTGGTGGGGTTTAATTGCATCACTTCGTAGGACGGGAAAGAGCCAACCTCAAAACAAGTCGCGCAAGCCGAAACGAAAACCAACCATGCTAGACCAAACCCATCTAGCACGGCACAACACCCATCGACTTGTGGTACCAAGCCCTCTCGAAGCCCCAAGATAAAAACCCTCACCGGTCACGCGTGAAAGCGCGGGTTCAAAGACCCTGTCTTGGCACCGCTCATCCAGCCTGGGGTCACTGTTTTGACCGCTTCTAGGGGTGATCAAAGTCAGAAAACGCCTAGATTGCCAAGTTGCTGCTTGTTTCAGTCATCGTTGCTGTAAAGTGGATGGAAACTGGCGATCCAGGTGGGGTTGTTTGCCTTTAACCCATCCCTTTGGGGGTGACCTTGATCATGGCAAAATAAAATGAGGCCAGTCTCTGGAGAGTCCCTGGCGAGGCCTTCCACCATCTCTTCCAAGGTCTCGTCCAAGCTATAGAGTCCGCAGGTCGGTGACCTCGCTACTGGCCCAGCCATGAAGAATTTGGCTGCGGGTCAAAAATAGGGTAACCCCAACATGGCTTGCCCTGGTGAATGGAAACAATGACTAAGACCTGTGGTCCCCTGGTGGTTTAATTTTCACCCATACCCATCTGGTTTAACAGTGATTTCCACCTGTGGGGTGGCCTTTTTCTTGGAGGGGCTCCTTTTTACACATAATGATGAACCATGGGACCCAGCCTCGAGATTGGAGAAATCGGCCAGAAGTTGGGTCTTTGGAAGGGTCTGGACCAAAGAATCTAAGAAGGCAAGTCCGAGGTTCCAAGCTGAGAGGGGAAGATGATGGTTTTTACCACCTGAGCGAGCCTGGACTCTCCAATGGACAACCCCGACCCTTCAAAACATGAAAAAAGAATGAGGATCCAAAGTAGGGCTTCGGGCACAAGAAACAAATGGGGGAAACCAGGGGGAAACCAAAAGGAAGCTGCCCTGCAGAAGTCCCAATTTTGAGAAACACCCAAATTTGGAACCTCAAGCTCAGCCCTTCCTCCGCCCCATGAACCCCGACACGACTCCCGGCCTCAAATCCTGCACCACCTCGCGACCCGGCGATCAGAACAATCACCCCCTGGTTGAAAAGCATGTGACCCTCCAAAACAGTCGCGACACACACACACACACACACACACGCACGCACGCACGCACGCACGCACGCAAGCACGCACGCACGCACGCACGCACAGGTTTTACTCCATGAATGTCAACACTTCACTAGTCGTTCGGACATGACAGAAGATTCGTTGGTACTATGAAACGATGCATGCTCCTTCTACAACATCGTATGAGTCTGGTAGCTCCAAACAATAGCCAAGCATGACCCCTCCCAAAGAAGTCGCGTACCTTTCCGGTGTAGTTCTAGTGGCTCCATAGAACTATAGCCATGCAGGTGGCATGGGCAACATTTAAAAGGCCTTTTAACCAATTGAACCCCACGTAGACAATTCAAAAAAAAAGCCTTCCGGCCTCCTTCTGGGAAATATGTTTGGCTGTTTAGGATTTTTGGATTGCCCCACGATTTCTTGGAGACCTGCAGTTGAACCTGCTGCTTGGTTTTGCCCGCGGGGAGGGTGCCCATGCGATGTCCTTGCATGCCTACAGGGAGTTGGCCCCCATAGACATTCAAGCAAGCGCAAGTGGCACGCGGCGGCCGGAGGGCCCCCCGCATGCCGAACCAACCCGAGGTTCGACCAACTGCAACAAAAACCGAGCCAATCTTCACCAAACCACCCTTCCGCATCCCCAAAGCTGCACTGCAACCGTGGCTTCTGGAGCACGCCTCTCGATGCGTTTTTCGTGTTTTTTTCTGGAGCACGCCTCGGCGAATCCGCCCACTCCGAGCCAATCTCCGCCAAGGCAACCGTTCAACCCGCGGCCTGGAGCGCAAGGACCACCCCCCCGGCCAGCAGAGCGAAGACCAGCGACTGGACCCAAAGCCTCGGACGCCAACTCGGACGCTTTTTGTGGCTGTGGGAAATGGAATCCACTGGCCTGTGATACAACAAAAAGGGCCTAACCACAAAGACTCACCCCCCATCTTTTTGTGGGTTTCGTCGATTCGACGGGTTCTCGTCACCGGCTTCGCAACCTCCAGCTCAGCTTGTTCGGGGGGGTCTTTTTGCCACCTTTGGTGGACAATGAACACGACCCCCTCGCAGTGAAGGATTCCTTTTTGAGGTCGGCAAAGTTTTCTCACAGATAGCAAAAAACAATGCTTTCCTCACAAATTTTCTCACAAAAGGTCGGCAATTTTCTCCCCCTGAGCTGGTTGGTCTTCTCTTTGTTTGCACCTCCTTTTGTGGTGTTCCTGGACTTGGGAACCGTCCGTGGGGAGTTGGTCTCTCTGCTTGGCTTCTTTTGTTTCTTTCCGGGCTGGGCCCGTTTAGAGTCTTGGCACTCTTTGGCCCCTTTGGTGTGGGTTCCTAGATTATCCCCCCCCAAAAAAAAAAAAACAAACGTGGTGAAAGAAGCTCCACAATGGCAGAAATATATACCACGTCCACAGGTGCCTTCGGATAGTGGGAGGGAGTGTAACATCTTGTTTCTATGAGTTTAACCGGGCGAAAGAGATCAATGGGGTACATGGTCAAATACATCCCGACACGGCCACTGGCTAAAGTGACTTTCGAGTGATCAAAATTACATGAGGGACATGTTGAGATCACCTTTGGGGAGGATGATCGTGAATGTGATCTTGAACAAATTGGATCACGCGAGCTGAGAAACCCCAAGCGGTTCCCGCTTCTTTGTTCTCGCCTGCCCTTTGTTTCCGGAATTGGCCCCTGGAACATAGAGTTGCTGGCCCATTTCAGACGAGGATGACACTCAATTCCGCAGATGTGAAACAAATTATCCGAGAATGCATAAGGAAATCCGTCCAGAGGAAGCGATTGCACCCCAAGCATCTGATGAGGGGAAAGGCGCCTTTTGGAGGCGGCCGGAACCTGCAGAAGGCCCAAAAAGTTTGATGGGGTCGAGCATCCGGCCACGACCAACCGCTAGTCATCAGACTGCTGTTCCCAGGGCACATGTGAGCTCGTTTGAGGCCAACACTTCCTAAACGCCGGGTTTAAAACTCGGACACTCGAAACTCCTCCCGCCTATGGGCCAAACGCCTGGCATGATGTTGAAGGCAAGCCTTCTCAGCTCAGAAAGCGAAGCAAAAGGAAGACCACTTTTTCGGGATGCCCGCGACTTTTTCGACCCACCCCGCAAAAATTTTGGGCGATGTCCCTCACTGGAGCTGGGCGTCTCGATTCTTCGACCCCAATCCCTGGGGGCCCCGCAAGCCTTCCCTTCCCGGGCCCCGCCCCAAAAAGGACGCCGAGCCTCAAAAACCCGGCCCCCCCCCTTTTCCGCGGCTCGACCAGAGGCCGGACCCAGAAGGAACACCGCCGCAATCTGGGCTCTTTGTTTTGTTCTCCTTGCTTCTTTTCCAGGGATTTCGGGGTCCAGAAAACATCAGGACGCCCATTTGTCTAGGGGTACCTTCCCCATTCTTTCCAGGGATCTTTTTTGTCAGGAAACCATCCAAAAACCCAGGGGGAAACAGCCGGTTTTTGAAAATAACGATGGTTGAAAAGGATGGAAAAGGAAAATCAACCCTAGAATTTGGGTGTCATCGCTTTTCTTGGCGCCCCCGGCACGTGCCCCGGTGACGCAGCGTCCGCTTCGTACCCGGAGATCCCGGCCTGCGCATGGAGAGCTGCAGCTGATTCTACCCCCTCCAAATACCCTCTTTTTTTCAGGGTATCATGTCGACCCTCTACTAAAAAAGGATTTCTATTTACCATGAAAAGCCAGGGTTTTCCCAAACATGCCCTGAAAAAATCGGATTTTGAGTAGGGGGTGGGGGAAGCTTCCATTTCCATGCTTTCCAGGGATCCGATTCTTTTCGGAAACCCTCATAAATGGGTCAAACAGAAGACTCTTGAGAAGAAAGATGGTTGAAAAGGATGGGAAAGCAACCCCTAGACTTATCAATGTGTCTGTGTGTTGTTCGGTATGTCTAGTGCTAATAAAAGATTCATCAAAAAAACAAAAATATTTGAAGTCTTCATCAGGGCCGAAAAAGCTTTGGGGGGGAGGTCTGTTTTCGGCGCGGCGCGGTTTAACGAGTTGTGAATTGGCCTGGAAGGTGCTTCATGCCCCTTGACCGACCCTCATATGAGCCCCGCGCGAAATGACTTGCTTCCGCAAGAGGGCATGGGAAAATTGGGCCTGGTCCCCCTTGCGTGCTGTCCCCCTCAGTTGCTTTGTGGGCAACTTGGGATCCCCCATGTTCTCCTCAAAACCAACAGGAGACTGCCAAGACAGTGTCCTGGCCCTTTTCAAAACTCATTTGGGCATTTGTCCAAAAACAAAACCAACAAAAAACAAGGCTTTCTTTTGGGTTTCCCTTGCAAGAACACACCTCCGAAACTGGAGCCATCCTGCCTCTTTGGCCTCAAGATTCCCCCCAGCGCCCAAGGCTTGAAAAGTGCGGCTCTGCTTGTAGACGGCCATACAGGTCCCGAGAAAAGAAGGTCCAAAACCAGCGTGTCCATGGGTACCCTTTTCGGTGGACGAACCGAGTAGGCCGTTTAGGGAAATGGGGTGGCGTTTCGGGTGGTTTCTACGTGGCTGAGTGGCTTGGGCTAAATCTTGGTGTGGTTTCAGGTGGCTTTTTGGGGCTAAATTTTGGTGTGGTTCCCCGCAGCACCCACCCAGTTCTGCCCAACCACCCAGTTCTCCCCGCCCCCAGGAGAGGAAACACCAGCAGCTCCAGTGCACCCAGTACCTCCGAAAAATCGCGGGATTTTTCGCGTACAGGGAGAAAGCCATGAGCCGCCTGGTGTCTCTCGGGGTTGACTCCCTTAAAACCACAGGTGGTAACCCATACTTAGCAGGATTCTGACACCCATGCATCCCACAATCGAAGCTGACAGTTCTGGGGGCTGTCCTTTTCCATCCTTTTCAACCATTGTTCTTTTCAAAAACCGGATCTGTTTTTGCTGGGGTTCTGCTGGTTTTCTGGAAAGATTCGGATTCCTGGAAAGAATGGGGAAGTGTCCCCTAGAGTGTCTGATGCGAGTCCCCCCTGCAAAATACCGTTGCAAACGTTGTGGTTTCTTATGGTTTCAAAGTGGTGCGAAATGGATTTTGGTCCATCCACAGCAGAATTCACGAAAAGATCGCTGTAAAACCTGGTAAAACTCTGATGAAGACCTGAAAGCCTGGCAAAAACCTGGTGAAAACCTGATGTTAATCTGAATAATAACTATTGAAAGGAAAATGGTCCAAACCATGTGAAAGGGGTGGGAGGGTGATTCTCGCCGGGAATTTTTCGGGCTCTCCCCAAAAAGAGAACTTCGCTTCCCCCAGATCTCGCTTATAGGTGAGCTCGCATATAGGTCGTTCTAACTTGAAAGGGGATGGTTTCTGCTCAAGGCGTCGTGTTCAACGGGATCGGAAACCCTGAGCAACACAAAGCCAAGTGTATCATGTTGTTTTAGCCGAAGTAGGTTCAAGCAAATAAAGTGCAGACCCACAACTCCTTGAAGACATCGTGCTTTCGAGTCCTGAACCTCCAGATTCGGGGGTCACGCCCTGAGAGTCAGCCCTGCCGCCGGTCTCTCGATGGTAGAGGTTGGAACCGGGGTTGCGGTCGAGCCCTAGCACATGGGCCCCTGTACACATGATTGCTTGGAAACGATCTTTCGCCGATTCATCTTTCGATTGGCCACCGCAGGTCAACCCACTACTCGCAACTGGGATCCCTACTCCGCAATCCGAATCCGCAGTTGGACACCACTACCACCTAGTAAGGATTCACGTTGAACAGCCCTTCCAAACCTTGGTATACTATGCAAATCGGTTGTTCTTTGCAGCTCACACAAAAAAAAAGGACAGAGCCAACTAAGTTAGTTGAAACAAGATGAGAAAAAATCAATCCCAAAAAACACGACCGAACCAAACAAACAACCAACAAAAGATGACTCAAATAACGGTGAGAGAACCACCTCGCCCCTTCAGACAAGCAAGCAAAGAAGAAAAGAACACAACAGCCCCGCGCACGTTCAAGAGGACAAAGTGCTCCAGGGGCAACCTCGGGGACACAAAGCTGCGAAGCTGCGAGACCCGGGCCTCAAGACGCACGGGGCTTCATAAAATCCTCCGCTCGAGCCTTGATCTGGGGTGCCTTCAACTCACCAACTGCCTCAAAAAGGAGGGGGGGGGATCTTGGAAAAGAAGCTTAAGATGTCAGTGTGATTTTGCAGTGCTCGATCGCCACTTTTCCCCAAGAGGTGCATCTTTTGAACACTACAGTAGAGATGTTCCTCCACTTTCGCCTGAAGTGGAGACCATCAAGAAAACCAATGGAAAAGAGTTGATCTAGCGGTGGTGGTCCTAGAAAATTTCTTGGGGGTGATTCGGGGGTATTGGAAGTCCCAGAAAAAAAAGAAAGGGAGAAACAAACAAAAAACAGTTGGAGCTCCGGCTGCCCCTTGCTCCTTCATGTGAAGGCCCTTCGTTACCGGGGATCGGATCCCTAGCCCTAGCTACTTTCAAACATGGAAGCGGATCGGGGAATTCGCCTTCCCGAAAAGGAGGTCCTTGCGTCTGCCAAACTTCTCGCATCAGCTGCCATGCTTCGGGCAGAGGAAAGGGGGGGCGGGTGGCAGTCACTTAGCTGGATGGTTCAGCTTGCGGCCACTCCAACTCATGCCCTTGCGAAACTACTTTCTTGGACGGAAGCCAGTCCAGCGAAGCCCATGATCTCGGGGATTCCCCGATGTTTGCTCAGAGCAGCGCTCAATTCCACCCCTTGACGTTTGTTCTACCAACATGGTGATAACAAGTCTCTTTTTTGTTTGGCTGAGGTGATGGCTTACTATAACCCCCGTGAAAGCAGGTAGGAACCAACTCAATGCTTCAAATTGAAGGATTTGGGCGCTCAAGTTTTGATCAGAAGCTCCAGTGAATCGTTCGGCAACGCAGATCAGCAGCCTCCCCCAACAGGTCTTAGTAGTTCTGGAGGTGGCTTTGAGAAGAATAGAAAGGGCGAAAACGACCAACCGGCTCAGGCACAGCTGCACTCAAATTTTGGAGTTAAGGACACCCCCCCCCCTTTGATCTCCCAGCCCAATGGGATGGTTGACGTTCCCCTCTAGTGCTTGGACTTCCCTTTTTTCGGCCCCTTAAAGGATACATGTTGGGGTAGAGATGTGCTTTTTTCCTAGGGCTAGCTTTTTCCTAGGGCTGGTTTTCAGCAGGGCTGGCAACATCCCCGCCATCACCAACCTCAATTGGCCTGCGAGCTGGCTCTGATTGGAAGGCAGTTGCGAGTTGCTGGGGGCTAGTTTAAGTTAAGGGGGGTTGAGGCTCGCTTGGATCTTCATTAGGGTGGTGGTTTGGGGTTGATTTAGGGCTGACATCCAGAGCTGATTTGTGTGATGCCTTTATGCTTTGGAATTTTGCTGGTTTGGGGCAACGCTCCAAAACCAATCCTAAACGAGACCAAAGCTCACGGTATCCACATCCCTAAAGGCATCGTTTTCCTAGCAGCACACCCAATACAAATCAGCTCCAAGCCAACCCCAAATCCACGAAACCCGCCCAGCAGCAGCCTGGATGTCAGCCCTAAATCAACCCACCACCACAAGCCCCCTGATGACTTCCATTTGCTTCAGCCCCCTGGGAAAATAAAAAAATATGTCCAGTAGTGAAATCGATTCCCTTTAAAAACCAACAAGGAAAAATATATATTTTTCTTGAGCAAATGGAAGATGAAAATCTAATTCAGCCTCAACCCCCCTTAACCTAAACCGGGTTCCGGCAACTCCTCCAATCAGAGCGGCCAATTGAGGCTGGTGATGCAAGGGATGAAGCAAGGCAACCAACCAACCAACCAACCAACCAACCAGGGGACCAGCCGCAGAAAAAAAAAAAAAAAAAAAAAAAACAGCCCTAGGAAACGGGTAACAAAGGGATCCATGTGTTGTGCCAAATCGAGAAAAAAACTCATTTTACCCGCTGATTCCGAGATGTAGAAAGGATAATAACCAAAATGAAGGAATGAAATCAACATGAAGCAATGATCAAAGTAATATAAGACGAGGATTCCGGCCCAAAGCAGGGGTGGGTTTTGGATGTACCCCCACCCAAAGGCACCTGTCAGGCACCGCGGCACACGAGTGAGGCTATCCTTTCAGGACCGGGTGGCTCGGCCTACATCATTGTTTGTGTGGTTTTAATGGAAAGCCACAAGGCAGTCTATGAATTTTGGGCGCCAGGCAGTCCAAACTGGCTCCAAATCCCTTTTTGACACGCCCGAATCCCGGAGTCCCAGCGCCCCGGCTTTCGTTGCGTGGCGCCCAAGCGCACCCCCCGCGCCTGCCAAAAGTGCAAACGGTGCCGCGCCAAGGGCCAAAAGGTGCCGGGGGGGTCCGTTTGGCCGTGGTACTTGTTTGGCCTTGCTTGGCTTTTTGTGTGTTGGTGCCTCTTTTTTTTTGCCGCGCACAAAGGCGGGGGGTAGAAGTAGGACCTGCCGGATTCATAGAACATCTTCCCTCAAAAGGGAAGGATCCCCTCGCAAACGGGACGTGCCCCTATTTGGCTGTGGGTCAAAACCAATGTGGTACCATTTTGGGGTAGGTGAATTCACCACTCATTCTAGTCGGGATTTTACTCGGATTGGGATGTTCACTGGTAATTTGGATTTTGGCCCATGGCCATTTGTCAACTCCTTGCTCCCTTTCTTACTCAACACCACTCTCTGCACAGGTTCCAGGCCCAAGGAGCAAGCTGATCAAGACCAAAACCAGCTGACCCTTGGACCTTGGCCGCTGGCCAGCGAGAAAGCTCTCCGGAAAAAATGGTGACCAACTTTGAAGGCTTTCCTTCTGGCTTCTGGCTTCCCTTTGACCCTCCACAACCGGCGATTTGACATCCTATTCAGCAACTCCGTGTTTTCCAACTCCCTGGATGGATTTTGGTCAGTGGTGTCGTGGACTGTTTCCAGAACACCGCCGACGTGCAAAAGGAGGCCATGCTGTGGCCTAAAATGCAAAAGCCGCCCCACGGCCGCAGCCGGATCCATGCTTGGGCAGACACACCCTCAGGTGTTAAAGAAAGCCACTGCACTGGACAGGGCGGGGTGAGGAAGGGAAAACAAACGGGGACTGGGAGCCAACACAGTTGCAGAAATGAAGCGTGGTCACCCCTTCTGCAAAGGGCTTCCCACTCGAAGTATTCAGCAACTCCGTGTTTTCCAACTCCCTGGATGGATTTTGGTCAGTGGTGTCGTGGACTGTTTCCAGAACACCGCCGACGTGCAAAAGGAGGCCATGCTGTGGCCTAAAATGCAAAAACCGCCCCACGGCCGCAGCCGGATCCATGCTTGGGCAGACACACCCTCAGGTGTTAAAGAAAGCCACTGCACTGGACAGGGCGGGGTGAGGAAGGGAAAACAAACGGGGACTGGGAGCCAACACAGTTGCAGAAATGAAGCGTGGTCACCCCTTCTGCAAAGGGCTTCCCACTCGAAGTATTCAGCAACTCCGTGTTTTCCAACTCCCTGGATGGATTTTGGTCAGTGGTGTCGTGGACTGTTTCCAGAACACCGCCGACGTGCAAAAGGAGGCCATGCTGCGGCCTAAAATGCAAAAACCGCCCCACGGCCGCAGCCGGATCCATGCTTGGGCAGACACACCAGAAAGCCACTGCACTGGACAGGGCGGGGTGAGGAAGGGAAAACAAACGGGGACTGGGAGCCAACACAGTTGCAGAAATGAAGCGTGGTCACCCCTTCTGCAAAGGGCTTCCCACTCGAAGTATTCAGCAACTCCGTGTTTTCCAACTCCCTGGATGGATTTTGGTCAGTGGTGTCGTGGACTGTTTCCAGAACACCGCCGACGTGCAAAAGGAGCCATGCTGTGGCCTAAAATGCAAAAACCGCCCCACGGCCGCAGCCGGATCCATGCTTGGGCAGACACACCCTCAGGTGTTAAAGAAAGCCACTGCACTGGACAGGGCGGGGTGAGGAAGGGAAAACAAACGGGGACTGGGAGCCAACACAGTTGCAGAAATGAAGCGTGGTCACCCCTTCTGCAAAGGGCTTCCCACTCGAAGTATTCAGCAACTCCGTGTTTTCCAACTCCCTGGATGGATTTTGGTCAGTGGTGTCGTGGACTGTTTCCAGAATACCGCCGACGTGCAAAAGGAGGCCATGCTGTGGCCTAAAGTGCAACGGCCGCAGCCGGATCCACCAGCAGGTGTTAAAGAAAGCCCACGGCGGGGACTGGGAGCCAACACAGTTGCAGAAATGAAGCGTGGTCATCCATGCTTCAGGTGCAGCCACACGCCGACGTGCAGGGTGTAAAGTAAAGATCCATGCTTGGGCAGCCACACCCTCAGGTGTTGACCATTCCCAGTCTCAGGATTCGCTTTAGTTGTCGGACCACTCCCTGTCTGACCACTCCCAGCTCAAGCGAAGACGCCCTTGGCGAAGCTACTTCCATTTAAAAGGTTCCCCAAAAACCAGTAAAAGAGTTCAGTAGGCGCAATCGATCCTCAGAAAAACAAAGTTGGATTAGACTGGCTCTGGCATCGTCAATGTACAGCCTTGCTGTCGCCATGTCACGCCATCGGCCACGCAGGACGGCGGCATTTAAGTTGTTCGTCATTTGGTAAAAATGGGTCGCACCGCCCCTTCGCAGCGAATAGGCGGAAAAATTGAGGTCGCCACAATCAACCGTGCACAGAAGACATCTGAGTAGGCGGCGAAAATTGGCCGCCGACCCCGCAACAAGCAAGCCGCTTGGGCGGCTCGAGAGCCAAAGCTTGTGAATAATGTGGCAAAATCGCTGGTCAGAGAGTGAAACGCTTTCCATAAGACCACGGCTTGTTTTGGTGTCAGGTAGGGCAATAAAAATGGTGCCTTTCTCAGGAAAAATGGAAACATGATGCGCACGCAGAGCCAAGATCTCTCCAGTTCATAGAAAAAACACGAAGCCAAGAAAAAGGCAAAGGGCCATGTCCATGCGGCCAACTCTGGTGGCTGCTGCAGCCATCGCTCTGACAACCAACCATGTGAGTGGAACTGCTCGGGAGGGCACATGCTGTCGTTTCCAGTTGTTGTAAAATTGCTGAGCAGTAGGTAGTTGGCGTCGTGCTCGGGGGTAAAAACGCTTCATTGCACTCAAAACCCAACCTGCTTGGCTAAGGTGATCACCTTCTTGGTACACATGGTTAATGTACTCGCTCAACATCTCGTCTAAGGCAACAAATGAATTCGGCAAAACGTTGTGAAATAAACGTGTGTACTGGAAGAATCTTCGGAGAGCTTGTTTGTAGGTGCGGGAGGTTCTGGCAGTGATACCCAGGAAGCGAAGGTGCTCACTTGGCCTCAAAGCGGCGCGAGGCATGGTCACTGAAATTCCACTTGCTAATCGTCCAAAGCTGTATGGGATACAACCCCGCAGCCAAGTCCACTGCCATTACCCTCCTGCACTGGCGATTCAATCGCTTCGACGAAGATCTTCCCTTTGAAACTGCGAAAAAGGTGACGAGCGAGTCAATCACGTTGAAGAAACGCTTGCCCAGCTGCGAGTGCTGCCGGGCACGTCGGCGAAGCTCCACCAGGAAGGCGGACACCTCCAAAATGTTGATGTGCTGTGGTTGGACCCACCTGTAGCTTAGACAAGTGCGATAGGTGATGGACTGATCGAAGTAGATGCTTCAAGTGGTCCATCTCACTGTCAGCATCCATTGTGCGAACCAGCTCATCAATGATGTCCACTGCGAGCTTCACTGCAGCCGGAGATTGGAATCCACGAGTTGCACCTTGAAGCTGGGAAGTCAGCAAACCCTTTAAAGAGGGCGGCGCAATTTCCTCTGGAAAAGGGTGCTTCAGCCCATTGGCATACGCAACGCAAAGTGCCCACGGGTAGTCAAAGGCCGAGTCGTTGCCACCAGTGTCGTGCCACTCTGCAGGAAGGAGGAGACCATGATGCCCTGCGCAAACTGGCTTGTGAAGCGCTTTGAAAACATGGGGAGAGTTGGTTGGCCACCAAAGCCACTGCGCGCTGGACCCGCCAAAGCAGCACAGGCAGAAGCAGGCCCAAAGCCACACATCCTTGTCCAACGACAAGCATTCCTCCAAGTGCCACACGTAGCTGTCGCAAGGGTGTGCCAACGAAAAGACGATGTGCCTCTTCTGGCTTTCCTTCATGCTGACAAAAGCCCTGCGGGCATAGGCATTACTTTTCCGAATCAGAATTTGGTCCTGTCTTCGGAGCCCAGGAACTCCCGATGGGCAATGAATGCTCCGCAAAGGATTGGGCACGCCTGTTGAAAAACTGCCGTAGGGCAGTGTCCAATGCTCGCCGGCCAGGGATGGGTCATCCTGTAAACGAGACAAAGTTTCCTTTCCACCGGTTGTGAAAAAGTCCCAGCCGTCCACCGCGCCATCCAAAGGCCTCTGGGTCAAAACACCTGCCAGCCCCACTGCTTTGGTAAGTCGGTAGTTTGGTCCGGAAAGGCGTTCACCAAAGGAAGGAGAGTACCAACCTTCGCGAGGGCAAGTTTGGTCATGATGAGCGCGAGCACACACCAGCGTGCAACAAAGAGTTCCGCAAATGCCGAGGGCACTCGTAGCGCCTGGCGCCCAAGTCCGCAGGCCAGCCCCCGCTACACTGTGAGCAGACGGTTGCGGCGGGTGACACAGGGGCGTTCATCAGCAAAGACTTCTCCTTGAACTTTGAAGCAATTGCACTTCCCCCGCCGGTGGGCGAGGCGTCCGTGCAGGATATCTCGCTTGAAATTGGCGCGCGCAGGTTGAGTTCAGCGCAAATCGAAAGCGACATCAAGGAGAAGACCTCATCCATCACCACTTCAGAAGGACGGATTCCCCCTTGTTTGCCCTTTGCTGCCTCGATCGAATGAAATACTTCTTGCATGATGGAGTACAGGGGCCTGCAAAACGTTGAAAGAAATCCGCCTTTGCCAGCCCAATGCCGCAATGGAAACTCCAACCAGCCCTTCTGACTCAAGAGAGCCAAGGAAAGGGATATGAATTCCCTCGTCTTGTTGCGAGGCATTCGGAGAATCCCTTCGTGTCCAAGCAACTCACCACCTTGTAGGCACCCCACGAATGATGCAAGCACCTGCTTCCCAAGGTTCCGCGGCAGGCCTAGCTCATCGCAGGCTTTGATAAACTTGGCATGGTCAGGAGAAGGCTCACCTCGGGCCACTTCCATCTCGGCAGCAGTGAGCTTCGTGATCTGATCAAAATTGTCCAAGTAAATCAGCGAGTATTGCTTGCTTGCCGGCAAGGGGTTCAACCGTGTAATATCTCCTCTGGGGTCAATGGCAGCTCGCTCAAACACCAGGTGCCTCACCGCCGCTTGTAACAGGGTAACGGCCGAGGACCCATCGGCACCACCTTCAGGACCGGACGGACCATCCGCTTGTCCTTCCCTCCAAACGCGGTGAGTGCCACCTTTTTGCCGTAGTTGAAGATCGGCCACCAAGCTCGCGGCATTTCAAACAAGTTGAAGGCCGACTCCAGGTCCTCCGAGTCCAAGACCAGGTACTCGTCCTTTTCCGCCAGAACTCCAGCGAGCTGGCCGATGTACGGAAGGGTGTCCTGGGCTCCTGGGAGCAGTTGCATTGCCTCGTTCTGAGGACAGAAGATCGAAATGAACCTTTGGGCTGCCACTTCTTTGCCGTTGATGTTCTTGATCTTCTTGACTCCGCCAGCTCCGCCACAAATGTAGTGACCTCCTCTGTCTTTCGGGAGCTCCTCGTCATCGACATATGACATGAGGCCTCTCTCATGGGCAGCTCGGCAAATGAGCCACCACTGATGATCATCAGCTCGCACTTTGGATTTGCGTGAGTGGTCCGGCATCGCATCCCAAGGGACCCAAAAGTCGTCCGGGCTCTCGATGGCTTCTCTTAGCCAATGAGGTAGACAGTCCACCAATTTGGGCCAGGCCATGACTACCTTTTCGGCCACCAAGTTCTTCATGAACTCCATCGGCTGCGCCGAGTAGTCGAAACAGCGTGAAGCCAACTGAGACTGCGCTTCCTCCGCGCTTGGCGTCCTGGATGAAGGCTCCATGGTCCTTGAAACCTGTCTGGCAATATGGGCAATGGACCACTTTTGGTTGGCGCTCAAATTCGGCTGGAACGGGACACATACTGGCTTGGTCCATCCCGCGCAGTAGTGAAAGTTGAGGATGACGAAGATCAGCTGGACCCATTCCAGGTTGGATTCATCGATGCCCTCCAAGTCTTGCGAAATCAACGCAGGGTGCAATGGGAGAATGTCCCCCCTGTTGTCATGGTGGGGCAAGTGCCCCGGAGGCAGGGAGTTGGGATTGCAATACTTCTCCGCAAAGTTTTGAAGTGGGGACTTCAGGCAGCGAACTAGTGATAAGAGTCGCTTGCCTAAATGGGAGTATTCCAACTGGCAACTCAACACTTTTGCCACCATTTCTTGCCACTCGCCAAGTGGCAGCGCCTTGCCGCACATCGAATCCAGCTGCTGCCACAACTCATCTTGCGGGCAACCATCATCATCGGAGCCACCCAAAATCGAGGTCACTCTCTGGCAACGGCTGCTTGTCTGGCTTCTCGCCCGCGGGCGGACTGTCCTCCCCCAGCTCTAGCCGAGAGGAGGCGCATCCTCCTTTTTCCCATGCTTTGACCCCTTCTTCCCTTTCTGCTCGACTTTTGCCTTGGATCCCTTGCCTTCGTCCCGTTTCTTCCCGAAGTCTTTTCCGCCCAGCTGCTGGCCCCAATTTGCCTGATACTGCTTCAGCTTCATCTCGCCGCCCATCTCTCTTGAAGCCATCCAAAGTTCGTCCTTGTCCACCAGACCTGGGCCCTCGCCCGGGATGAGCTCCCCTTCGCCACCGCATCCAGTGCCATCAGCAAAGTCCGGAGCTCGCGAGAGAGTCGTAGATGCATCTTGTCGCGGTAGGTTGGGACCAGAATGGTGTGGAAGTAGTTCACGCCGCAGGCCGGGGTTGCGTTTGAGCGGAGATCGGTGGCGGGCGGGCCTCCCTCTCTCGAAATCAAGTCCTGCATCTTGATCAGCAACCTTGAAGCCAATCTTCCCGGCTTTCTCAAGGCATACTCCTGAAGCTGCAGCTGACGACTCCGACCGCTCTGAGAGGAAGACCCTGCGCGAAAATCCCGAGAGGCATCCGACCCACCATCGCCGTCAGAAGGGATATCGCCATAGGCAACCTCACGCCCAACTCCAAAGGGCCCTCTGTCTCTTGCGTGCCCCCTGCTCGCAGCTCCTGAGGCAGAGGATGAAGATCTCCTCCTCCTTTTTCGACGGCCCTTCTTCTCACGAGCCTCCTTGATAGCCCCATCTCGGCCCCGGCTTCGGGACCTTCCATCCTCTCGCGGCCTGGGCTTTTGGCCGAACCACTTGGTCAGTGACCTAACCTCGCCCGCAGGCGGCCCATCATCCACTCCATCCCTGTGAGCCGGGATCTCTCGCTTTGGTCTGGGATCCCCACCTTTGCCTTTTCTTGTTCGGTCCATCTTCCCATTCAAATCCTTCTCCAATTCCACCTCCAAATCTTTCAATCGTCGCTCCACTTGCTCGTCCTCAGGATGGCCCGGCTGCTGTTCAGCTTGAGGCGCTTGCCCCCAATCCAGTTCTGAGCCATGTCCCACTTGGCCAGCTCGGGGTTGATGGCTGTTAGGAACATTGCCCAATGTAGCCAGGTACTTGTCAATGGACGTTGCTGATAGCCCACGCTTCATCCACTCGACCTTATTGGCCTGAAGGTCTCCGATTGAGATTTCCCGCAGTTTGTCGGTATGGAACTTTTGGCTTTCATGGTTCTTGGACTCCTCACACTCATCCAGTGGGCACGAACAAACATGGACATTGAAAACACGTTTGTTCCTCTGGCCCTCTCCGTTATCCAGCCACCACTCGAGGTAGGGGTCCGACACCGCCAGGAACTTCGCCCTGATCCAGAGGCCCCCCAGTATTAAGACCTGATCTCGCCCACACAGGCCGCAAATCCAGGAATTTGCAAAAACACAAAAAAAAACTCAAAAAAAACACAATCCAAAAAACTCAATCTGAAATAATCTGAATCTGGGAAGACTCAAGAACAACTCAAAAAAAACTCAAAAAAAACTCAATCTGAAATAGTCTGAATCTGGGAAAACTCAAAAGAAACTCAAAAAAAACTCAAAAAAAAACTCAAAAACAACTCAAGCAACAACTCACATCACAAGTAAAAACTCAAAAACAATTCAGTCCATTCCCAAGCACGAGTGAACACCTTCTCCCTACCTACAACCTAGAATGCAGCAAGACGGCCAGTGGTATTGTGTCAAGCCACACAAACAAAGCACGCATTCCACTGATTCCACTGGCACTGTGCAT